CAAACGTTTTTTCCTGCACCTTATCCCTGGCTTCATATACACAAACGTTTTTTTCCTGCACCTTATCCCTGGCTTCATATACACAAACGTTTTTTCCTGCACCTTATCCCTGCCTTAAGTCCCGCAGTGCCTTAAATCACATAAAACGTCGTATCTTCAGTAGCCAATTACAGATGCTGTTTCAGGGGCTCTTAGGGAATCGACCAATCACAAGCCGCAAATGCCAATCAGCTGATTTTGTAAACACAACGCTGTGTCTAGCCCGTGGCATGATAAAACGTTTTAACTAATATGTTGCAGAATAAGTAACGCAGAAGAAATATACAAGATTCCTTATCAAAAGGAGTGCCTTAATAATGGAATGCATGAATACCCTGAAATGAGAACAAAGTATTGTCTCCTCAAAAGCAAGGCCTTGTCCGAAAGGATGGCTAATATTACAGGAGAAATTTTCATACCAATTGCCAGTTATACAAAAAATACTTGGAATAAGTTTTGAAGGCAACTGTAGTAATGTAAATAGTAACATTAAATAATAACATATATATATATATATATATATATATATATATATATATATATATATATATATATATGTATAACCAAGACATCTGAGGCGAAGACAGCACTGTTTAAAAATACAACACCTAACCTAACTTATTGGAAAAAGCACTTCATGCCTTATTTAGTAGTCCACGCTTGGTTTATGTACACTAATAACATTATAATTGAACAAAACACAAATTGTAATGTTTGCATTAATTGTATTAAGATTGACAAAAAATATAATTTATGGTTGACCGTAACCCACTACGGCTGCTCTCGCCTTGCCTGTCTCCTTCGCCTTAACTTGTACCAATATGGCGGGTTCCTTACTCTGTGCATGGGTCGTAGGAATACTCGGCCTTAAGATGAGACGCCATAAGGAGATCCGGCCCCTGGACTGCCAGAAGACGCCTGGGAATCCCCCTGGGCACACCCTTCCACCTGAGAATTGGAGTCCCACAGGGTAGCGTGTTATCGCCAACCCTCTATGTCCTGTCCACAGCCGATCTGCCACTACGTACACCACACAGTAACTACTTTTCCTATGCAGACAATATCACACAGATAATCTTACACCCCTCTAAATCACAACTCATTATGAGACTGACAACACAGAGCTATATAGAGCATCAACACCTCTGAGCACCAATGGAAAATGCAGAAAATCGTAAACAAATTCAAACTCATGCACGCAGAGTCGCACAAACCATCACATTCAACAACAATCTCATCGTCTCATCCCCTACACAAACAGAGGAAACATTTCTCGGATTTCACTTCACAAACACGGGTTTCACATCACACGTCACACGAAGAATCACACAAGCATGCACAACACACCAACCGCAGGCGCTTCTCATGCTGCACATCACGAACCAAACAGACCCTTTTCGAAAACACCGCCGTCCTGAAGGTTACAATATCATTCACAAAAACTCAAAATGCAATCAGTCCAGAACAAAGCACTAATCTGGGCACACGGCGCAACAATTCTAGACTTCATTTCCGCAGAAACTCTACACCGAATATGCAGCTTCGAGCCACTCAACACACGCATACACAGACGAGCACAAAACACCTGGGCCCGACTACACGAACAGGAAGACGAGCACTACTGCAGCAGCATCACAGACAAACACACAAACACACCAATCACACCTGCTGGCCCAGAACTCTTCCACTCACCCAAGCCGCAACACCCCTTCCTCTGTACACACCCTCACTGCGTTATGACCAATCACCTTGCTTTTGATTATGCTTCACGTTCAAGGCTAAAAAACAAAGAAAGAAATAAAACCAGAAGTCACCCTCAGAAACCCCAAAGGATTAGCTAATCCACGCCGCACAGTATCCATTATATCTATGATAACCGGAGCGAGCATCGGGTTCGCCAGCCAAAGACCACGAGCGCTGGCAACTCTCATCCACGCAGCGTCGATTAGCCATTACGGGGGAGAGGGCTGGCTACTTTGACGTGACTCTAAGGTAATATGTTCGGCTGTGTACTTACCACGATGTGTCATTTTGCCCGCCGTGTGTGGTCGATGGATCAACACTGCCGAATTCTATACGGAGTGGTACTTGGTACTCTCATGTATAGTATGAGAGTGTAGTCGTGCAGTTGCATAAGGCAGACACGCGAATCAGAGTACGAGCAAGATGGAGATGTTCTACGGAAAAAAAGACCCTTATTATATACCATGCTCCTGTGCTATTTCTGTATTTGTCATTTTATCTCTTCAATCACGTTAATTTGCCAGCTTCAGCCTGCTTTTATTTATTGTGCTTTTATTTACTATATTCACAGTGCCCCTACTTTAATTTCTGTGCTTCTGTATGTAAATCATTTTTGTTCTCTTCGTTCGCCAGTTTTCCAATTCCTTTGTCGTCTGTCCGTTTATACCGTTTTCCTTTGTTACTGTGTTACCGTTTTTTTATTTCATCACCTCTACCA